CCGTTTCTATAATTGTGTTTTCTGTCGGAATTTTTGTGTGGATAATTTGTTAGAATATTTCGATGGCCTGTTTGGTTGCTGGGAAAATTTAAGAAGGGAAACACCAGTTGTTTGCAGTTTCAGGTTACTTTAATGTATACTTCTTTTGCTGTGGCATAAAACTTGACAAAAAAAAAAACGTTCTCAAGAGATCAATTTTCTTGTCGAAGCTGAGAATCAAAGGGATATTAGATAAAAGAGAAGCAATTAATGAAACCTGGAATGATTTGATTTGTTAAACTAATTTTGGTTGTTTTATGCAGGAACAAGTAACAAGATTACCAGAAGTGGAGACTTGTCCAATTACGCTATATATTTATATGTATTTGTTTTTGTTATTGAGTGCTTTTGATGTGAGGTGATCTGGTTTGAGTTTGTAATTTTACTTTTGTTTTTATTTCAGATTTGGCGGTTTATAAAATTGTGTGCGCTACTGTGCTCAGCATTTTTCCATTCTATGTGTAAATTGGTTGTTTAGTTATACCCTGCAAACTCTCTGGTCTCTGCAGGGTTGCTCGTAACATTGTTTTTATTTAACAACAAACTCATATGCTCTTCTTCTTGATGTGATTTGGGTTTAGGAAAATTCATGTGGCTGGTACTTAGTTTAACAGTATAGAGATTTCTCGAGATCGTGCATACTAACTGTCTAAAATTCAGCAATCTGCTATTTGGTTGCAACATTTATGTGGAAAGTTGTTAAACCAATCTTCCTGAACGCCTCTCATCTTTGGCAAAGGTGGTAGACATTTTCTTTTATTTATCGAATAATGTACATTTTGAAACAAGTGGAAATAGAATTATCTTTGTAGAATATTATTATTATTATTATTAATATATATTTGTTTTTTTTGAGAACTAAGTTGTTTTTTATTGGGTTCCGGGCATCAACAATCGCATACAACCACTTTGAGAACTAAGTTGTTGCCCTCTATTTTAGCAATATGGTAAGAGAACAAGTTCTTGCGACTCTACTTTACCTTGTGCAATGATCTGGCTAAATGAAGTGCAATTGTTTGCCTTTCTGTTTGTTAACTTTCTGAGTTTGTAGTTGTTTCTGAGATTTTTGAATCTCTGTTCATATTGACTAATAAAAATCATTAGTTTGCTCTTTTTTCCTACTTGTTCTAAACTTGGTTATTCTGGCAAAATATTGTGTGTAGGAAAAATTGGAAGCAGCTATGTTTTGTATGATGCCCAAAACTCCTCACTCTTTTGTGAAGATTCTTGTGATTGAGATTTTTTGGAAGTGCACTCGGGCTGTTTGGAGTGATTGTAGGAATAATCATGTTAGTATAAGCAAACATGGCCGGCAAAGGCAGCGTGACACTTATTCAGTTTATTCGACTCGGTATTCATTCGAATTGGTATTCGATTTGTGATATGGATTTGTTGTGATTTTGTTGAAATTTTTTGTGTCTTATTTTTGTTTGTTTTTTTTTGTTTGGGATCAATTTAGTAGACTCATCTTCGACTATTGACGTTGGCGATCGAAGTTGTTCAATCATATTTTAGATGTAAAAAAAAACATAACATGACAGACTATGAATCATAGTCTAACAGAATATGAATCATAGTCTGGCAGATCATGACCGGTGTCGGAGTTCAAAGATCCTTCAGCCGGCGTAACTTGTCAGACTATGTATCATAGTATGACAAATTATGGTCGGCGTTGGTGACCGGTGACCGGCAGATCATAGTCTGACAGACTATTAGTCATAATCTAACAACTTGTCAGATTATAAATCATAGTCTGATAGATTATGGTTGACGTCGACATAATCTAACAGAGTATGGGTCATAGTCTGGCTGGTATTGACATAACCTATTAGACTATGTATAGTCTAAAAGATTATGGGATATAGTTTGACAGATTATTGGTCATAGTCTGACAGACTATAGTCGGCCCGCCAGACGACAGCCGGAGATTTTGTCGGTTGGCTGCTGGAGGTCCTGTCAGATTGTCGTCGGAGACCAGCCGGCCAGTCGCTGGAGCCCGCTCAGAGGCAGCCTTTGTAAATTAGCAATTTACTTTGAAGGTATTTATTTATGTATTGGGCCTTTAGCAAATGTTTCACTTGATTTAGTCTAAATGAGTATAAATAAAAGTGTAATGTCTTGTACCATTTGGGCCTTAATCCTGAAAGGTTCCCTTGCAACTCCCATGTCTCCCAGATGACGTTTTAGTTTCCATGTGTGGGCCTATGTAAGCCCATTAATAATTGCTTCATCATGTCAAATTTATATGAGAAAATTTACTCTCAGTGCATAGACTTGCTTTTTACTTTTTACTCTCAACTAATACCTTTTTAGTCATATAGTTATTTAACTAAAAACTTATTAATTAAGATAAAATAATAAAAATTCAGACCTAAATATTTTAAGAGATATTTGTCTCTTTTTCTCAATTTATATGAAAAAATTATTGTAAATAACTCAAACAGTTTTAAAACCTGTTATTTACTTAAGTTAATTTTATAAATCTGCTATTTACTATATTATCTCTGAAATTAAGTAAATAGTAGATTTTAAAACTATTTGAATAAGCAATAGAAATATTTTTTATCACGTAAATTTTTTAATTTAGTTATATTTACTTTAAATAGTTTTAAAGTATGTTATTTATTTTATTTGTTGTAAATCTGCTATTTACTTTATTCTTCAATTTATATATAAGAGAAAAGTACATAGTTTATCATGGTTTTGTGGAGGTTGTTATTTAGAGCATTCTAAATAATTGGGTGCTTCCTGTGGCCTTTTATTTTCTCTTTTTTAATTCATGATAATTGTTTCTTTTTGAGTGTACTGATATAAACAATATCTTTTTACTATATTGAATAGTATTTCTCATGTTTCAGCTATTTATGTCATGTTTACAAAAGTGAAATTAAATATTGTAGTTTTTTCAATATTTTAGAATAATAAAATAATGTAGTAATTATAATAACAAATTTCAAATTTTTTTCTGTGAAATCATATAATAATTCTATTGGCAAAATATTCTAATTTTTTTTTAAACATGTTACATGATTTCTAAAAGATTATGTTATATGTCTAACTCACCCTCTTTCTTTTTTATTTTTAGGAGTTTGAGCACTTCTGTTTTGATAATTTAGTTCTTAAAATGTTAAAAGCCTAATAATTATGTCTAATAGTTAATTAGATTAAAATTTAAGGAATTTGGGCATCAGTTTAGAGACTAAATTACTAACATAATAATACGCATGGAACAAAGGCTTAAATTACCAGATTTTTTTTAAATGATTCAAGTGCTAAAAGATTATAACTAATCTGTCTAAAAAAAATTAACTCTACGATTGACAATTGAATTTAATTGCTATTATTTTCACAAACACAAAATAAAAAAGGAGACTTATTTGCCATTATCTTCTAATTTGAAATTGAGTACTTTTATTGACACATCTTCTTCTACTTTTACGCACACATTTTTAAACCACCTTACTCTACTTATACATCTCTTAAAATTTACAAAAAGTCCCTACAACTAAATTACTCTCAATTCTATTTTTTTATACACACATTTTTAAACCACCCCTCATTCTATTTAGGGTATTTTGCACATTTGCCCCATGAACTTGTATGGTTTTAGCAATTTGCCCCTGAATTTTTAATTTTGACAAGTTGCTTCCTCAACTTGTAAACTTATTACAATATGCCCCATTTTGACAATGATTATGTTAAATTAGTGTTGATAAAGCACGTTCGAGGAAAAATTTTAACTTTCCAATTCAAATGTGACATAAATCTTTCAGTTTCTCAACTTTTAATCCCTCAAATCTAATAAAAAAATTTGAGTAGATTTAGTAAAATGGGATATATTACAATATTTTTACAAGTCCACGCGGATGATTGCCAAAATTAAAATTTTAAGAAGTAATTTACTAAATCACTAGAAATTTGGGGGACAAATGTACTAAAAACCCTTCTATTTATTATACCTCTCATAAAATTTCAAAAAAAAATTCCCGCAACAAACTTGTATTGTTTTTCTTTCTTTCTTCTTCTTCTTCTTCTTTTTATTATTTTTTTTTTTATTCACCATCCACACCAATCAGGCTTATCCTTATCTTGCTTTCACAAATGTACTAAAAACCCTTCTATTTATTATACCTCTTATAAAATTTCAAAAAAAAATTCCCGCAACAAACTTGTATTGTTTTTCTTTCTTTCTTCTTCTTCTTCTTTTTATTATTATTTTTTTTATTCACCATCCACACCAATCAGGCTTATCCTTATCTTGCTTTGATCTTTCGATTTTTTTAATCTTTTAATCTTTTTTTCCCTATGTATTATATACATTACTAGTATAATCAGAAGATCGAATTTAGCTTACACATTGTACAGCTAGTCTGCAAGGATAAAAATTGCAAACATTGTAAAGGCTACTTAAAACAAATAAGTTCAAAGTTCTGGCCATCTTTTTTAGTTTTCTCTTTTAGGAAAATCTTGTTTATATCTCTTGATGCCTTTTTACTATTTATACATAGATGCTATTTGTTGAATGTTCTTGGAACTCCAATATATCGTCGATTATGGTGTGTACTTGGTTAGGCACGCGACAAAGAAAAGCAAGTAATTTTAATCAGTATTTAAGTTTTTAATAAGTGGGATGTGTAATGGATATTTTTTAAAATACGGTTATTTTTAAAAGTAATTTTATTGATTAAGTAATTTAGTTTTCATTAAAATAAGGTGTGTGAAAAAGTAGAAAGGTAGGATAGCGTGTTAATAAGCCTCGTTCACTTCGTTGATTCGAGTTGAGATGTGATTTTATGTGAGAACTTTTTACTGTAGCAAAAAAGTTAGATGTGATTGTTTGTGAGAGCTTTTTACTGTAAAAAAATTCGAATTCTAAACTCGAATCAGCGAAGTGAACGGGAAGAAAGGCAATCGTAAATTTTATTTAGAGCTAACTGTTCAGAAAGAATTCAGATATATACCAAACTACAATAAATTTGGCCCAAACTCCAATATTTCAATATCTGGATAATGGATATACATAGTTACCACATTTGAATGAAATACCACAACAATAAATACCCAAATATCATCCCATAACAATTGACTTGTGAAAGTGAAAGACTACCTGACGTTAATTATACGTTAACGTTATATATGCACAAGACTTCAAAATCTTTTACCAATTCAAGAATTTGAATTTTGAAATATCCACCATGCAATATATGATTGTTGACCACTTCTTTTTTTATTTTTTATTTTTTATTTTTTTATTTTTCTGGTCGTATCATACAAATTGAAGTTCACGCTAATCACGTACCTATTACAAGTCTACAGTATATGTAATCGTTAAGGAGAATTATCAAATGACATTACTGGTAAAACTGGAATTGCATAAACAAAAATTTCCACTGCTCAATTTGTCCATTAAAAGCTCCGTAAGTGAAACTAAATAGTGAAATCTAAAACCTTATATAGACATGGAAGATAATAATATTTACGCCTATTCTTATTCGTAAGAGAACTTACAAGGAAATTTTGTCCCTGTTAACTTACTCTTTTAATTTTGTATCATTCTCTTGTAATTCTTTCTATTTAGATGAGTTATAACTAGAAAAACTAAAGAATATATTTGCTTGTGGTGTTTACAAAAGAATATATTTTTTATTGCTTCTTCGACGAAGGAGTGATATTCTTCTAGATTTCACTACTTGAAATCCTAATGTTAGGCTTAACCTGTCCTACGCCATAATCATATCATGTTAGTACTAGGAAGAAGTTCAGTACAATGATGTTTTTTTTTTTTTTTTTTTCTCTTAAAATAATAATAAACAGTCGTCTTGGTAAAATGCTAACCCATCAGAGGAACAAACGCATGCCTGAGATCCGAAACCGAGAAAGTACCTCGACACACTAACAACGAGCGGACTGAAAGCTCGACTGGAGAAAATCCCTCTCTTCAACATAAGCTATCGAGTTGGAGGGGCAAATCATCAAAACCCACAGAAAGAGGACATTTACATGACATAGAAAAATTTTTAGCCATATCAAGACCACCATATCGGCATTAAGCCGAACACCTAAATTTAACAAAAAACAACAAACCAAACGAGAGTTGAGTGCGGAAACTACCAACCTTATTACAAACACAAAAGTTACAAAAATATAAAAACCTCCGACCACCGCCGGTAGAAACCTCTGGTGAAAGGCGTCCGGCCAAAGGACCATCGAGGAAGACAGCCAGCGAAGAGATCTCAGCCACCAAGAGGAAAACTCCCCTGAGAAAGAAGACTGTCCATTCAGCTTCCAAGCTCCTAACCGGTTCAAATTTACCTAAATGGAGCCACCACACTACACCACCACCACCAATGATAAGCACATGACGAGACGAGTCGGATGATTAAATTTCATGACTGAGAGTCTGACGATG